ATTAATTTGACCAAAAAAACTAGAACCAATTAAAATTATTTGTTGCCAAAAATCTTGTAGATCCTTCTCGAATTCTTTTAAAGTTTTGGTATTATCATGGAGAACGAATATTAAACATTCATTTTCGAAATCAAATTTATCTTTATCAAATCCTTCAACTGTTCTTTTTGATTGATGTTGTAAACTTTTAACCTTTTCTTCCAACACATCAAATAAATATTTATCATTTTCAGCAACTTTTTTTCTTTTTAACCAATCAAAATATTCTTCAACTAATAGATTTGTTACATTTCTTCCTGTATCATATAAAATTGTTATTCTAATCGGATTGTTACCCCCAGTAGCAATGTATATAGCATCCGCAGCACCAAATTGGAAAGTATATAAGCCTGCTCTAGCAATTTCTTTTGAATTTCCATAATACATATGCCAAAACATATGTGAAACAGCAACAAGAGTACCGACAAATGGAATAAAATCAACAACACGGTGACCTTTTTCAAAAAAAATATTCAATACTATCTTTACTCATTTTTTATTTTTTTTATTTTTAGTTGTTGCTTTTACATAATTAAGCTATATTTATAAATTTTAATCAATATTAGAAAAAGTATTTAAGGGCACTCTGTTTGTCTCAAAAAAAAATAATAAAATAAAAAAAATTATTTTTGTTAAACAAAAATGTCTAAAAAAACCTCTCCTAAACTTTCTTATGAAAATACTGAAGTAACTGTATTTTCGAATCAAGATTATCCCGACAATGTTAATCGAATAAAAAGAGTAAATAAATTAGAGGTTGATATAAAATCATATAATAATAAAATTGTACAAAAAAATGAAAAACTCGACTTAACTGTTAAAAATTTAATGTCGAAATTAAATATTATTGCAGATAAAATTAATTTTACCACATTAAAAGCAGAAGAAAAAGTATTAATTTATGAAATTGAAAATTATTTTGTATATTCTAAAATTATAGAATGGATTTTTAATATATCTCTCAATTCAGTAAAACATGCATATTTATTTTCACTTAAAAAAAAACAAAATTTAAATATCTCTTTTACTGAATTTAGATTTGATCTTAACTGGACTGCGAGAATTTTTGATATTGCTATTGATCAAAATATTAAACTTGAACGTTTTATAAATGATGCTGTTACTGGTGCTGATAAAAGAAGATTATTACAAGAATTTATTAAAGAATTTCAAGATCCATGTATTGAATTAAATCACAACATAATGCTTCTGACTAAAATTATAGAATCAATTACTGAATTATTAAATAATACTTTAG